AATCCTGCCTTCCACAGATATGTAGTTTGAGAAAGGTCTAAAGGGACTCTTAGAAATTCTTGGGTCAAACTTAGAGAACCATGAACCTCTGTATTACAATATCTTAATTAGCTCTCACTAGAGAATCCTGGAACAGATGAACTAGAAGAGTCTTGCAGAGCATCCAGTTTGAAACCCCTCATTGTGCAAAAAGAGAACATAATGAAAGGGGTTACCCAATTTGACACAGCAAGTCAATGACAGAACTCAAACTTGCACCCAGGTCTCCTGCTTCTTAGGAAAGTTCTTCTCCCACTTTCAATAAATATAGCTTCATAGTCCCAAGGACAGTGCAGTGGAGAGTACTCTTCTCCAGGTTATAGAGAGGTTTGGGTTCTAGTACCAGATCTGTCATTGATGTAGTAGTAAGAGCTTTTCAGAGCCTTCAAAGATCATAGCATAGACAAAAAGCATAACAAAGATTATAAAGTGGTGATCTTCCTGTCACGCTATATACAGTACAAGGGAAAAGTTGGCCTAACTAACTTCTCATGTTTCTATAAGCCTCAAGAGCCAAATAGAGGTGATTATAAATGGTACTTGCACCAAATTTCAGGGTTCTTGTGGCAGGCCCCAATCAGTCAGTTTTCCAGGTTTGACCAGGAATATGATAGGCAGAAAGAAGGAGTAGAAGATTTATTCCACATTTATTATATTGAAAAACAATTTATGGCCCTGGCCGAATGGTTCAGTAGTAGATAGTCGCCCCCTCAGACTGAGGATCACAGGTTTGATTCCCAGTCAAGGGCACGTACCTCAGTTGCAGGAGACAACCAATTGACGTGTCTCTCTCACATCAATGTTTCTCTCTCACTCTCTCCCCCTCACTCCCCCCTTCCTTCCACTCTAAAAATCAATGGAGAAAATATCCTCACGCCTCAGGTAAGGATTAAAAATAAAATTAGAGAAATCCTCAAAAATCAAAGAAAAAATAGCATAGCCCCGGCTGGGTGGCTCAGTTGGTTGAAGTGTCATCATGTATACCAAAAAGGTTGTGGGTTTGATTCCGGGTCAGGGCACATACCTAGGTTTCTGTTTCAATTCTGGTCAGAGCATGTACAGGGGGCAACCAATCGATGTAACTCTTTCGCATCAATGTTTCTCTCTTCCTTCTTCTCTCTCTAAAATCAATAAACATATCCATGGGTGAGAGTTTAAAAATAAAAAAGTAGGCCCTAGCTGGTTTGGCTCAGTGGATAGAGCGTTGGCCTGCAGACTTAAGGGTCCCAGACTCAATTCCAGTCAAGGGCACATGCCTGGGTTTCGGGCTTGGTCCTCAGTAGGGGGCATGCAGGAGGCAGTCAATCAGTGACTCTATCTCTCTCTCCCTCTCCCTTCCTCTCTAA